TATTTTTTGAGGTGGCAATAAGGTCTAACATTCAAATAAAAGCAGGAGTAAGAATCTCTTTTACTTCGGATGAAGATGAACAAGGAACATGAGGCTCCTTAAACTCGAAAGCAAGACTAGGGTTAGAATATAAGTTTGGCCCAGATTGATGTCGATAAAAAGCAAAAGTAAATGCTTGAAGGAGAGGAGACAAAACAAAAGAAAAAAAAAGGTAAAAGGTGAAAAGAATGAGGAACAAAAGAATGAAGGTCAACTAGAGAAGCTGAACTGACCTTTGACATTGAGGTTAGTAAATTTTCAAGATAATAATCTGTTGTAGCAATAAGCTCATCCACCCTATGATAAACCCTCTATCTTCTAGCACAAGCATTGTCTTCAACTTTTTTTTTTATCTTAAATAGTCATTATATTAAACCAAAACGCAGGTTAGGAATCATTTTTTCCTATATTCACAGAAGGGACTTTATCATTTAAACCTTAATGATCAAGCTGACCTCCCCTTGGCTTTAACCAAAAACTCTTAAATCTTGAATCAAAAAACATAATTAAAGGAAAAAAAAATACCGAGCTATATGAAGGTGGAAAGGTCAATTAAAAGAGAATTAGAAAGTTTGAAGGTTGGTAAAAACAAATCAACATTAAAGCAAAAAAGCTATAAAGTGAAAGATGGAGGCCTCAAAGGACCCTTTATATAGCCAACAAATGGCTCAGATGAATGCTCCAAATTGTGCCATATGTTTGAAACAATTACTGATGATAACCCTTTACATTCCTAATTTTGAGTTTTACCATTCAATTTCTTTTCTCCTTGTTAAATGCCATTTTCAAACAATAGATAAGCAAATTGATCATTTTACCTATCTATATCTGTTAAACAGCTGTGACACACCAGATCAACCATTTGTCAAGTCAAAAATCAAATTTCAAAACAAAGAAAAAATAAAAGTCCTATGTCAGCCTTCACAACAACATGCCACCAAGTCATGGTCAAATATAGCATTAAACACCTAAGTCACGTCAATAACCACCCATAAATTTGCTTGGTTTGACCCTCACTTATCTCGGCTTTCACAGTCATTTACCTCGGTGACTTCAGGTTAGACCAATGAAGTTTAAATTTTGAAACCCACATTCAAGATTAAGCATGACACCATCGAACACTTATTGATCAACATAAACCAAATCAACCGAGACTAAACCCAACAATCTGATACTCAAACTGTTCAGTAAGGCAACAAAATGTTAGGGGCATTCTTTAGTCCTAAAGGCAAAATGGCTTTTTTCCCCATTAAAGACTGCCAACAAACAGTTAAAGGCATTTATGACTTTTAAGCTAACCCAAAAGATCTTTTTTATGCTAACTTGTCACTCTCTGACTGGATGATCAGTGTCTAGGTTAGCTCAACTTGCCCAACTTCAACTTTAGCTATAAATAGGACCATTCAGGTATTATTTAGACTTCTCATACTGTTATACTTTTATATTTTTCTCTTCATATTTTTCTTGTATCGATATCTAACTTTAGCGTCAAAGTGTGAATATTAGAAAAACTCCCAGCCTTTACCTTTAACCACTCTCTTTTGCTCTTGTGGGTTCAAGGTTTTACCTCTTAGCTCGGAGGTCAACACCAACAATGGCATTTCGATAAAATAATAGCTGTTATACTACTATATCATGCTATTTGAAACCTTGCTTCGCGTCATTTTGCCCAAGCTGGTGGTTTAAATTTTGGAGTACTACCAAAAAGAGGTCCTATTCCACCATCGACACATGGCGATGGTGAAAATTGTACTCTTTCACCTCATTCGAAAGTGAAGCTGGTCGTGGTTTGAACTTTGGGGTACTATCAAAATGGAGGGCCTATTCCAGCATCTGCTCCTGGTAATGATGGAAATCATATTCCTTCATCTTATTCAACCAATACTAGTTGTGATTTGAACTTTAAGGTACTACCAAAGGGAGGGCCTACTCCACCATCTACACCTAGCAATGGTGGAAATCGTACCCTTCACCATACCATGCAAATCAAGCTTTTCTTCTAAGTTTGGCATATACACCCCAACTGCTTCCCATAGGTAGGCATTTACACATGTTTTAAGAGTTGGCCATGAAGATCTTTTCTATGGTTTAAAAAAAATAATAAAATAAAATTACTTGTCGACTATTAACCAAAACTATGTTACCACTATTTTAATGAAAAATAAAAATATATTTGCTTTTATGATTCGGCCAAAAGCTTCTTATTATCATCATGAAAAATATATTTGTAAAAATATATTTGCAAAACTTCTTAGAATTCAATCGCTCTTTTATAATACTTTCTGTTCGACATAAAATGGAAGTGAACTTGCAAGCTGCCATACATTTTATATTTTCTTCGTCAGACGATTATCTTCGGGCTTCAGGCCTTTGCTTGAATTTTGAGAATGCTTTCTATCGATATTTTTGGTATTTGCTGAATATGCGATCAAAATATGACTGTAATTTACCATGTGACACTTATACAAATGACAAATGTATTAATAGATGGGGGATTTAAAACAAATTCAAAAAGTTCATAACGATAAAATCGGCTTTTTAAAGTTGCAAACAAATAAAAATATATATTTTAAGAATTTATATCTGATGGATTGATAATGTGATCAAGTTTAAGATGTTTAAAGCAATTCTAGATTTTCCCTTTTCTTATTACAATATTATTAGTCAGAATTGTAACATTAAATATATTTTTTTTTCATTCAACAAAAGTTAAAGAGTTAATAGTGGAATTGATTTGGTTGAATCAAATTCAACTTAAAAGTTTAAGATTGTGTTATCAAATTTTTGTTAAAAAAAAAAAAAGAAGAAATGAATTTTAAGCTAAATAAGTAAAATATAAAAATATTTACTTTTAAAGGCTTTTAAAATTTTAATTTTTATTGATGAGGAGGCAACGTTTAGTTAATTAACAATGTATGGGAAGCCATAAACAATATATGTACATCAAATATAAATATTTTAATCTATTACTTAAATGTTTAAGCCTTCAAAACTAATGGATTCTTGTTGAAACCATAAAGTTTATGCTGATGATCCTTACTTTCTATATTTTTGGCCAAAGATGATCCTTACTTTTTCATTTTTCTCAAATTTGGTTATCAAATAAAATAAAGTGCAAACATTCATATAGGTAAAAATGAGCAAATTCATAAAGGAAATGTGCAATAGAAATACATTTAAAATGTTATTTTTTTTAATTTTTTAAAATCCTCTCTAAGTAAGTAGATATAGATAGAGAGATAAAGCGTAGATTAAAATTTTTTTGAAGGAAGTATTGAATTAAAATGCCAACCAAATTCGTGATTCAGGGCCTTTGCATGCGTTTTGATTAAGCTTCTATGCTCCTATTTGATGTGTGGAAAGGCTTTTTTTTGTCAACAAATGTGAGGAAAGGTTTACTAATAATTTACAATTTAAAACTTGTTTTTTATTGGTATTTTAATTTATTTTTAGAAAAAATGAATAATTTTTTTTTCAAAATCGATAGAAATCAAAAGGTAAATAGATATATTAACGGTTAAAATTTAAAATTTCTTTTTAAAGGTTTTGATTTTGGGTGGATAAAGTGAAATTTAAATTAATGGTTAAAATTTAAAATTTCTTTTTGATACGAGGATTATACTTTTCTTTTATGATATTTAAAGTTATCTTGATACCTCTTGCAATTATATCATTGTGTAATCTGATCATATATATGTATAAATGTTATATTATAATATATAAGATTATTGGATAAGGTGTATTGACATGAATTATAATTTCTTTTTATGACATATAAAATAATAAAATATTTATGTATATTTTGAATTTACATTCAAATAAAAGGTCAAATTTTTATATTTAAAAATTGAAATCTTAAAAAATTTTTAACTTACCAAATAATCAAAGTTAAAATAGAATAGAAGATTATATCTTTCTAAATTACTTTAAATTTTTAATTAAAAAAATTACTTTAAATTTTAAATTTGTTAAATTTGTTAGCCATTATATTTTATTTGTTTTACAATTTTTATAACCTCAAAATCATGCATATTCCTTTTATCTCCACTAACTTATTTTTATTCTTTTATTATATATTAGGATTTTTTATCATTAATAATTAGTTCCTTTCATTTTATTTTTGTTAGGTCCAACATCATGGATTTGGATCCTTAGATCCAAAATTAAAGTCCAAACATTCAAAGCACAAATTGGTGTCCAAGTAAGAACGTTGTGCCACTTGCATGCCTTGGATCAAAGTGGTTGTCACATTCAGACGACCAAGACAATTTTGTTATGCCCGTAAATCACACAAGATAATATGATAATTTCAATACACGGTACATGTATAAAGGTAATACACGTATTTAAAGGTGACGTGCCTTTCGTCATCCAGACTCTCACTTTCACTCGTACTCTCACTCTCTTCACTTTCACTTTTCTTCTCGTTTATCAATAAAAAAGAGTATAATTTTTTTAGCATTATTCTAAATGCAATAATTCGCCAGAAATCTCTTTTATGATAATCTTATACTTATCCAATAATAATAAATAATTATGAAAGAATTTATAATTTATATAAAATTTTAATAAATCTCATATAATTTAAAATTATAATTGATTAATAATAATATAATATAATAATTAAAAATGATATATTCTTATAAATTATAGTAATAATATAATATAATAATTATAAATGATATGTTTTCATTCTTCCATTGTCGCTTTGTATCCTGCTTTATTGTTTTTGCGGTTTGGTATAGGATGTTCCTTGCTTTATTCTTCTTGTTTTCGGTGCTTTATTCTTCTTGTTTTCGGTGCTTTATTCCATTGTGTCCTACCCAAACTAATGGATTAACAGTGATCTTATTTTTATTACCAATCTAATACTATAGGAAATACTAACAAATAAAAATATGGTATAAAATAAGTAAACTAATTAAAATAACCACTTTTTTAAAGCCAACTTTGAAAAAAAAAAAAAGGATTCCACTGAGCTCAGCATCATCACTTTATAAAAGCTTGTTGCTTGTTGCTTCCCACCTTCCAACAATTAGCATATGAGATTTCACCACGAAAATTTTCATCTAAAACATCAAGTTTGGCTGAGTCCGCTCCCGTCTTCATTTCATTTTTCCCCTCTCCATCCAAGCCACAAGCTCACCCTGAAAATCGTTGATTTGTCTCACTGTTTATCTCAAAAAATGAGTGGGAATGAGGATGTTGATTCAGGGGGCGTTGGAGTTGATTATGAATATTCTCAATCACATGCAGAACTTCCTCCTATGGAACAACAAAAGGTGGTAGCAGCACAAGTCCAAGCTCCAATTATTTCATCATACAATGACAAAATCCGACCTTTAATTGATGCCATTGACAGGCTCAGGCTACTTATGGTCATGAAAGAGGGTATACAACTCCCCACAATTGTTGTGGTTGGAGACCAGTCATCGGGGAAGTCTAGTGTTCTTGAATCCTTGGCTGGTGTTAATCTTCCTCGTGGCCAGGGTATTTGCACGAGGGTACCCCTCATTATCAGGTTGCAAAAAGATGCAAAGCCAAGGCCAGAGATTTATTTGGAGTACAATGGCAAAATAGTCCCAGTGGACGAATCCCACATTGCAACAGCCATAAATCTTGCAACTGATGAGGTTGCAGGTCATGGTAAGGGCATATCTAACACCCCAATAACTTTAGTGGTGAAAAAGGGTGACGTTCCTGATCTTACCATGGTTGATCTTCCCGGAATAACTAGAGTCCCTGTCCATGGTCAGCCTGAAAATATATATGAGCAGATCAGAGAAATTATAATGCAGTACATAACACCTAACGAAAGCATTATCCTCAATGTTTTGTCAGCTACTGTTGATTTTTCTACTTGTGAATCCATTCGGATGTCACAGCAAGTGGACAAGACTGGTGAGAGAACTCTTGCTGTGGTTACCAAAGCTGATAAGGCCCCAGAAGGCCTTCTTGAAAAGGTTACTGCTGATGATGTGAATATAGGACTTGGTTATGTTTGTGTTAGGAATCGTATTGGTGATGAGTCCTTTGAAGAAGCAAGGAAGGAAGAGGCTAGATTGTTCGAAACTCATCCAAATCTGTCAAGGATTGATAATGCAATTGTCAGTGTTCCAGTGTTGGCCCAAAAACTTGTTCAAATTCAGGCAAGTATCATTGCAAGATGCTTACCGACGATTGTGAAAAACATTAATGAAAAGCTTAACGCAAATGTTACAGAGCTGCAAAAAATGCCCAAGGCTTTGACTTCTGTTGCTGATGCCACGCAAGCTTTGATGAGGATCATTGGAGCAGCTAAAGAATCCCTCAGGAAACTTCTTTGGAGAGGGGAATTTGATGAATACCCTGATGACAGCACAATGCATGGTACTGTTCGCTTTGTTAAAATGCTCAGCCAATTCTCTGATAAGCTTCACAAGTGCGAGGAAAGTGAACCCAACAAGGAGTTTTTAAAAGAAGAGATGAAGGTTTTGGAAGAAGTTAAAGGAATTGAACTACCAAATTTCCTCCCTCGTGAAGCATTCCTTCGTATTCTGCAGAGAAAAGTGGAGAAGATATCATTTATGCCGATTGAATTCGCTGAAAAGATTTGGGACTATATAGATGGAGTGATGATGGCAGTTTTGATGCGCCACTCAGAAATGTATTATATCCTTAAGGTATCCATGAAAAGAGCCGCTTACAATCTTGTTCAAAAAATGAAGCACCGATCAATCAATCGGGTGAAAGAGATTGTAGAAATGGAAAAGCTGACTGCTTATACTTGTAATCCTGATTACATGAAGGAGTGGACTAAGTTCATGAACCCAGAAAATTCTTTCATCAGTCTGGTAAATACCGGAAGCCCTATGCGGGTGCCTTCTAGGATGATTCTTGAAGGTTTTGGGGATATTGAAATTGAACATCTCAGACAGCATTCCAATAATGTTTTGCTTCTGCAGCAGGCTTTTGACCTGAAGATGAGAATGTCTGCATACTGGAAGATAGTTCTAGTGAGATTGGTTGATACCATGGCTTTGCATTTGCAATATAGTGTTCATAATCTTTTGAACAATGACATGGAGGACATTGTGAAGGAGTTGATGGGAGCAGATGGGCACGGGGTTGAGAGAATGTTGGTGGAATCTCCTTCAATGGCTGCAAAGCGTGAGAAGCTGAAAAAGAGCATCAAACTGTTGAAGGAATCCAAAGATGTTGTGGCCAAAATCATGGACAGGATTGCTAGCTTTGATGCTTAATAACTTCTCATAAAATTGTTTTAGGCCGATAATTTCTCATAAATTTAGGTGTGGTTTGGCTTAATTGCATGTTTTAAGTGTCTGTTTCCTATGTGAGTAACCAAACTTTTTACTGAAGTTATTAATTTATAGTAATAATATGCAGTAATGCTTTGGATTTGCTGCTTTTTATTTTTTGCCAGAAAATAATCCTAATAAAAGCAATGCTTGTGGTGACTAAAGCATGCACAAGTATTAATGATAGAAAGAATTTCTAGATTGTAAACATTTAATTTTGCTCGAGCACGTTATAATTAAATTTTGATATTTTAAGTTATGACCCAATCCTTTTCAAAAGTTTTAAATCTCACAAGCATTTCGAGTCATTTGAACTAATGGACTGTTGCACTTGACATTCAAAGAAAGTGACAAAAATCAAGATAAAGGTCAAAGTTAACTTCAAAAGTCAAAACTGATCAATCTTGGACAAATATCAGATTTCAAGGTCAAAACTAAGGAAAAAGTTTTGAATTTGTTTGAAACCAGGATCGTGGATGGACTTGTGTGGCAATGCTTCAAAAAATCTTTAGTCAAATTTTTGGTCAAACCATGGTTGATTCTGGTCAAACCATGGTTGATTCTAGTGATTAAATTTGGTTCAATTTGCTCAAACTTAGCCAAATTGTGGGACTTTGAAAGAACTTAATTGTAAACCTTTCTATTTGATCAAAACTTATATTTTGACCAAAACACCATTTGGTCAAAGTTAGTCAATTTGCTCAAACTTCGAAATCAAGTCTAAATTTTGATTGAGACTAATTAAAGTTTAGAATTAATAAAATTATGATTTAAGATATTAAAAATCAAAGTTTGACTCCAAAAGCACCACAAAAAGTCCAATAAATGAGGCTTAAGGGCATTCTCGTAAATTTAATCAAAATGAGATCAGATTTTGAGTGCAGGTGTGAATTCAAGTTTAGAGATGCCATCATCATTTTTTGTATAATAAAGTCAAGAGATCGACACTGAAACAGAAAAATCAAAAGAAATGCACGAAAAAACCTAGTTTGCTCAAGAAAGGTAAATTTGTAATTTAACATGCCTTAAGGGATAGCTTCACAAATAACCAAGAGAATGTTCTGTAAATGACATAACCCTTAGGCCTTGGAGTAAAATAATCCAATGATCCACATTGCGTACTTGGTCACCAAATTTAGTGAGAAAAGAACAAACTACTCTCCACCTTTGGATGAAATAGGATTTAATGGCTAACATGAGATCTTTGTCTTTGAATAAGATATGCTAAGGCTGAAAGAGGGATCTTTGGAGGTTGGAACACCAAAAAAAAAAAAACAAAAAATTTTGGAAAGCTTTAAAGGTAGCATTTCCCATTCTTTCTCTCATTTTTCTCTATCCAAGCTTCATTCTCTTGCATGTAGTCCCTTTCTTGTCTTATGCTTTTGAAGGAGAGATAACCTTTTCCCATAATTATTTCTTCTACATTCTTTTTTAAATCTTCATTTCGTCTTTCCTTGCCCATGGTAGTTAAATGGAATGAAGTTTCTAATGTTCCAAAAATGTTGGATATGTGGGTTTATTGTGGATGAATGAAGTGGTGTATTTTTTTTTTTTTGTATATTTTTCTAAGTGTTTGAAGAAAGGTTTTAAATGAGAAAGGTAGTCTTTTTACCATGAATTTGATGTAAAGTTTGGATGATAATTCCTTTGTGAAAGTCCAACAAATTATCAATGAAAAGGCTTTAGAGACCTTGACCTAAGCCATTTCCATGGCTAGGCCGTGGCCTCTTTTTGTCCTATGGTGTTCTCTTTATTTTGTTTAATGATCTCTTTATCTTCATTGATTATGTGCTTGATTCATCTTTGATATTGTGTTTAATTGATAGGTTTAGTGTTTGATATTGTGTTCTTTATGTTTGTTATTTGACTATTTTATTTCATTAGGTTTAGTTTAAATCACATTTGTCATTTGCATTTAGGTTTAGCATTAATAAATGCCATATTTATTTACATACATGTGAATTGCACTTTACATAAACATTTATCCCTAATGAAGAGTTGAGAATTATGGTTATTAGGCTTTCTTCTAAAATCCACTTAAATATTTATGATTTGTAAGGAGGTCTAAATAATCATTAATTCTCATTTTTCTCCTTAAACCTACACTAAAACCCTAAACCTACCAAAACCTTAACTTGTAATACCCGTATAAATAATTAAACAAAAACTACTTTAAGTAGTTTTATAAGTGGAAGAACTTTTTAATAAAGAATAAAAATGCATAAGACTTAATGATAAATAATCTAACTTTTAATAAAGTTAATATATATTAGTTTTTTGGCTAACAATTTATTAAAATAAAGGAAAAGACTTATTTCTCATATCTTCCTTATACAGAGCAAACAAGTTGAAGCATTTCAATTTAAAGTCAAGAATAAAATCTACAAGGAAAAGTTTCTTTCAAAGATGAGTAAATAACCTACTTCCATTTTGCAAAAATAGTTTTTGATTATTGAATCTTGGAATTTAACTTGTAATCGAGAAACCTAAAAGCCTTTGGAAATCCATTATCACTTTTCAAGATTGGTTTGGACAGATCAATTAATTTATTTAATTCATAATGAAATGTTAAAAAGGTTTAATAATATGATTTTATGACTGTAAAAATTGAAAATAGAAATTGGATAAGGTTAGAAAAGAAAAAATTCTATTTTGTATGAACTATGATATTTGTAATGGTGGATTAAAATAAAATTCTATATTAAGAGATAAAGTATTACTATGACTATAATACACCATTGGAAAGCTTGCTAAATCTACTTTCCAACAAAATAAACGAAAGTCGATTTTTAGTTTTTTATGAAGAGTTGTCAAATTTTTACTTAAGGATGTATAAGTTACTTAGTAACAGCATCAAAGAAGAATAAAGAAAATTCTCTTAATTTTTATACAATGAATTATAAATTGACCAGACATGTTTGAAAAGGTTATTGAATCTACTTTCCAAAGAAACAAGCAAAACTGAATTTTGAGTCTCTTATGAATAAGTATTAATTTTTACTAGAAGGTATACATACTGTCTAACAGCAACATATTACATGGATTTCAAAATTTATTATAATTAATTTGTAAGGAATTATGGGCTGAGCCATATATGGTTAGAAAGTTTTTTTTAGTCTAGTTTTTAATGCACTAAAAGCATCTTGATTTGAGTTGTATATCTTGAGATACAGTCATTTTAGGGAAAGGAGCACAAGCTACTAGCATTACTTAGTTGAGTTAACTCTTTTATAATTTAGTCATTTTAGCATAAATTTCCTCAAAAAGGTTGATTAATTTCTTATATGTTAAAATGACCTTGAATAAGCCGTTAATTATTATAGGAGAAAAAATAAGTAGAACCTCACACACTTTGCTTATTATTTAACCTATGTATATATGTTTGTTTTAAATGAGTGAAAGTTTATTTCTTTATTTTCAATATATGAAAATAGGATCAAACATTTGATTGTTTTGTATTTTGCAATATAGATGATGGATCATGCTTATGAATGAAATGAAAAATTAATTTATGCTTAAAGAACAGTTTTATGATAGCTATGAATAAAGAACGATTTTATGATAGCTATGAATAAATCTTTGGGATGTGAAATCATTAATACTACAACTAGTTCTACAACCCTGGCTAATGAGTTATAATAGTTAGAATAGCCATGGTCATACAACTGTAGCTAATAGGTTATAGTTATTAGCATAAGGCCTTGGCTAATGGGTTACAGTAGTTAACAATGATCATAAGAATGAAATGTCGATATGGTCATTGTAACAGGTTATAATAGTGACCCTAACTAATGATGAACTAATAATAATGATGATTTATGATGATGAATTAATGATCTTGAAAATTATTTCGTGATTTGTATGAAATATGTATTTGATCAAGTTTGATGATTTATAATTGATGAAAATATATGTTTTGATATGTTATCAATCCTTAGAATGCTTACTTAAATGTTTTGAAAGCATAATTTGAATGATATTTTTCAATTATCTATATGTATGTATAAAAATAATATTTGATACAATAAGGTGTGTGAATCCATATTTACTGAGCTGTGGCTTGCTAATTCTCTTTTTACTTTTTTATTACAAATTATTAAAATAATAAGCATGCTTAATCTTGTGAAGAGCCAGAAGAATCTTAGCATTGGAGACATTATTTAGCAAATAAGATGTTATGAAATAATTTTTTTTAGTTGTATTAGTTGACAGTGACTTTTCAAAGAATTGTTATTTAGTTGGTTTATAGAAACTAAATTTACTTGAAGATATTATTTTATCTGAGAATTTTTCCATGACTATAGAAAAGTTTTAAATTAAATAATTTAATTTTCGTTCTACATGTAATCTTCTCTAATTATTATATTCAACATCTCATATTTAAAATGGAAAAACGTTGATTGCCATTAAAGAATCTCTTAATTGTGGTGTATTAATTGCTATTAACTATGATATTATAATTAATCTTCTCTAATTATTATACTACTTATACATGTAAAAAAGTGTACATGTTCTAAAACTACCAATTTTTTTTCCTTCTGTGAAATGGTTTGTCACGTGATTTTGTGTTTCGAAATTCTTATTTTTTCTTTTCTTGCTTTTTACCATGATAAGCTATTAAGCATTTTAGAGACAGAGATCTATTTTAAATCAGACGAGACCCGAAAAATTGTTAGGTAAAAATCAACAATGTTAAATTCTGAAATAGTTCTTTTAAATGAATGCAATGTTTTCTAAATTTTTTGCTTGATAGAAAAATAACTCGAAAACTTTTTTTTTTGTTCCCATAAGAATAAGGCAATTCAAAAAAAAAATAAAATTATGAAGCAATCATTTTTACAATATTGGTTTGCTATTAATACGTAATTCAAGAAAGAAAATTAAAGGTTATTATGTAAAATCAAACTAAAATTCAATTCATAATTCCTATGTCTTCAATCCTTAATTTATTTAATAAAACCAATTGACTCCATACTAAGAATTGATGTGACCTATGTATATCTTTAATTTCTAATTTAGTGTGAAAAAAATCAATAGGCTTGCATCCAACCAAATGTATTACGAAAAGAAAAAAAAAAAAAAAAAGGCAAAAAAATTCACTTTCTTTTCTTGGTGATATTGACAAAAAAAGAAAAAAAAATTTTGTGTACATATTACTGTTGAATGAGATATGATTCAAAAGTATGCATCCAATTTTTTTGGAATCAAAAACACCATTAGATTTTATGTAATATTAGATGAAATTTAATTTAAAAATATGTTTTTCTTTAAATTTTATCATAGTTATATATTGATCACCAAATTTATTTTTTTTCTTATTTTACATTAATTTATAATTGTTATAGTTTATTAATTATATTTTAATTGAATTTTTTTATACATCATTATAAACTCATGCATCATATGGACTCAAAACTAATACATAATAAAATAATAAAATCATGTCACGAGTCAAAAAAATTCAATTATCACCGCATCATCATTGCCATATTATTATTAAAAGAAATTTTCAAAAAACATAAAAAGATTCAGACAAATTCTAAGACAATTTAGAAAATTAAAAAAGCCCTGAAATTTTTTTAAAATCCAAAAAATTTAACATAATTTGCTAAATAAAATAAATCCTTTCAAAAAAAATCCCAAAATTTTTTTAAAAAGCCCAAAAATTTTTAAACGTTTTCCAAAAAATTGCAATTCCAAAAAATTCAAAAATTCAAAAACAATTTCTTAAACTAAAAAAATAAAAATAACAAAAAAAAAGTTCAAAACAATTCCAAAACCTTCAAAAAATATGTGAGAAAATTTTTTCACTTCCAAAAAATAAAAAATATGAAAATTTAAAAATTGAAAATTTCAATAAAATTAAAATTTTCTGAAATTTTTTAAAATGAAAAATAGAAAAATATTAAATATTAAATATTAAAAAATTTTAAAAATTGCAACAAATATCTGAAAAAGAAAATTCAGAAAATTGAAAACTTTTAAAATTTTGAAATCTGGAAAAAAATTGAAATATATCTATAAATAAAATGAAAAATAAATTTTGGCATTATGGGATTTGTTTCAGATATTTTAATTTTTATATTTAAGTTTTCAAATTTTATTTTTTTTCAATTTTTTTTGAAAATTTTTAAAAATTTTCTGACTTTTGGGATTTTTTTAGATGTTTCTGAAAATCTTAGGATTTTTTTTATTTTAATTTTTTTGAAATTTTCAGAATACTTTTTTTTTATTTTTTCAGGTTTTTAATTTTTTGATTTTTTTCCTTGTTCAGAATTTTTTATAAATATTTTCAGATTTTTTTAAAATTTTGTAATTAAAAAAAAAATTTAGATTTTCAAAAAATTTTTAGATTTTTTTAATTTTTTAAACTTTTTTAGTAAATTTTTTTAATCTTTCAGATATTTCTTCTTCTTCTTCTTCTTTGAGATTTTGGGAAGTTTTTTAAGTTTTTACTATTTTTTTTTTAAATTATTAGTTTTTTTTTTAGATTAGTTTTTTTTATAATTTTTTTTAATATAAAAAGTCCCTATTAATGCTACTTAATTACGATATCTTCCTTTTGTTCAACCACCAATTTAATTAATTGGTGACTAGTGTTTTCATAGAGAAATTAAGTATTGTTTCAATATAATTATATAAAAAAAAAATGAGTATGCACCATGATTTTTCTTTATGTATTTTTGTTATTCCGGTCAAAGTCTGAATTTAATTCTTTTATCATCTTAATTTTATGATTTTAATCATTATATCTTAATTTTATGATTTTAATCTTCATTTTTTATAAAAAAAAAAAAAAAATTACTCTAAGCATAATTGATAACGAACTAAGTATAACAAAGTGAAGATGAAATGTCTTTGATATAACTGACCATTAACTGAGATATTGAAATTAATATAACACTATTTTGTGAGTTTTTCTTCTCCTACTATTTTTACTTAAATTTATTGCTTAGTAGAATACGAAAAAAAGTTTCATCTTAAATGGAATATGATAATATTGAAATTAATATAACAATAATTTATGCCTTTTCCTTACCGAACTATTTTAATAAATTTAGTAGTTAAAAAAAATGAAAAGTTTGAAATTTTGATTTATATTCTTTTATTTTTTCAAGATTTATTCTCAAATTGAAACATTAAAACATTGAAATTAATATAATAATTGCTCATATTTTACATTAGTTTATTTAAAAAAAGAATTTAATGCTTGTAAATATTGAAATTAATATGGCAAATTTTTCATATTCTATTTTTTTTATTAATACTAATATACATTTTTTAGAACCAATTAATACTAACATAGACTTAGGAACATAAAAAGTTAAATTGCATATTCTTTCTCCTAGCTCATAAAGGCATTCAATAATTTTAACTCAAAACTATGTAATTTTAATTTGTTAATTTTCAATATATGAAATCTTAAACAAATAAAAATTTAATATTTGATGTGTATTTATATTTCAAATCCAAATTGTACATACATCCTAGATTTATTTTTACTTGTGCATTTTAACTTGTGCAAATTTTATTGAAAGTTAAATAATATATCTATGAAAAGATATATTATATAATTCTCTTTCCTTCCCATATTATTAGTCCCCTACTCACTTTTACAAGCACTTTGACTTTGGTTTACATAATATTAAGTTGTTATTATTATTATTATTATTATTATTATTATTATTATTATTATTATAGATTTGACATTCCATAATTTCTAATGACAAAATAAAAAATCGTAAAAAAAATTTGTAATATAAAAGAATAAAAATTTAAGTGTTAAAAAAAAAATGAAAACAATTTTTAAACATAAAAAATGGACAAAAGATAAAATGGTATGAGTAGCTTTTTAAAGTTCAAATTGAATATAAGTGAAATTTTTTATTAATTGTATTTGATAATTTCTCTTATAAAAAAAATATAATAATTAATATAATAATATTTTGTGCTAATATAGTACAAGAGTGATATCCAATGAGAACAACCAAACATCTAAATATGCATTAAGAAACATTTAAACATTCGAAGTATGTTTGGCGCTATAGAACCAGACAAGTTTGGTTCAAGTAAAACTACTTTTTAAAATGTTATAAATAGAAAAGTTAAGCTTTGAATTACAGTTATACACTGACACCCAAATTTTCACAGAATCTTTTTTAATAAGTCCTGAAACAATAGTTTATCTAACCTTCAACCACGCCGGAATTTGGGTCGAACAGTAATCAGTCCTGGCCTCGCCTCATCAAAGCGATATCTGCAAACATCATTGGTTCGTCATCATAAGACGAAGAAAACATATGTAGTTTAGCCCCATTATTAGATAAAAGGGAGAATAAAAGCACATAACTCTTGAAATATATATGCTTAAAAGTACGTGCGTGTGTGGTGGAGCTGGAAAAGGGACAGGAGAGGGGATGGGGGAAGGAAGCTAAATATTTCACCCATTTTCAATGAGGAAGCGTCTCACAGCTGTGGGGAGCGCAGCTTGTCCACGACTATGATTTCCTACGCCTGTAGTAGTAAAATAAAGCATTAGCATAGCTGCAGCAGCATTTTACACACAAACAACTTAAGTTAACCAATTTAGTAATAAAATAAAAAGTAGCCGGCATTGACAACTTAAGTTAATTATCTTAAGTTTCAGGTCCTATTAATACAAATGGTCAGAAGCCTATATAGCCCCGTATAAAATTTCAATTAAAAGGAATCTTACAACTGACTACTTCTTGAATAAAGCAAAATTACCTGTTATGACTTGTAATGATGTAGGTCTCCTAGATGATGTCCGTTGATTATCCAGTTTATCCATAGAACTAACTGTCTCAACAGATGAAGAACATACAATCCCATTATTTGCCTTAAATCTGTTTAGAGAAACTGAACGGCCGGCTGGTACCTGCATCTCAAGAAGTTTCAGATGTTCATGCAAGGCTTGGACAGCTTCTGCTGCATGAAGACCATGTAAGTCCAACTTCCACAGGTCATTGTCGCTATTTCTGATACTTAAAATTTCTCTAGCTGCCTTAGCATTAAGTCTCTGAGCAGCTAACCATTCTTCTCGAGCATTATGAGAGTGCTGCTGTGCAGCAAAGTGGTCACCTCTCAAAAATGCATTAGAGGCTGCCCTATAATGTTGAGATGCTGACCTATACAATTGAGAGAATACATGAACAGGAATTCCCAGCATCTATCCAAGATTAGTGGAAAGTGTAAAATTAAAATTTTTAAGTTACTCATATCAACAAAAACATACAGATATGTACAGAAAATGGGACTTATAGTAATGAAAAATTTTAAAATTCCAACTTATTTATATAAATAAGCATACAAAAATTTATAGATGCACTTTTATGTGAATAAACGTGCATGTTCATCCATTTACCTATGGGGGTAAATTAGATATGTGCTCCTAAACCTTCCTACAAAGTTTCATTTTAAACATTAACCTTAAATTGCAGGATTTTGCACCTTGACCCTTTTCAAAATGTGACAATGTCATCTATCCATCGGCTTTATGATAAAGACTTGATAAAAATGGACACGTCAGCATTTTATCGAGTTTTTTCACCATGCATACCCTACTTTTCACCTCGTGGGCACTAAGGTGGAAAGTGATTCAAGCAGCTTATAAGCAATTCTTTTCCTTAGAGACCTACTAACTTGATTGTAATTGCTACAAAACAGGTATGTATAGTTTGACAGGCAAAAAAAAAAGGATTAGCTCCAAGGGTTGAATTGGAACTCCACAAAGCTTGAGAACAAAAAAGATACTCAAATCAACCTTTATTGCCAGGAAGTTAAATTTATCCAAACTCTTAATACATGTCAAAAGAGACAAGGCGCAAATAACATGTGGCAGTTTAATGAAAGATTGGTGATTTGTCTGAAAGAGGTTTAATTAATATAAATTAAAACCTAAAGAGACCATTTTGTTAGATTCAAAGTTCAAGGACAAAAATCATATCCCGATAAAAACTTTAGGGGTGACAAGATTTACCTAAATATTCTTCTTTTTCTAATTGTTTTATTATTGTTATTGTTATTGATATTATTATCATTGTTATTACAGTAACATAAAATTAGTTGTGTACATGTGTGTATTAGAAAAGCTATTTAACAATCTATTAATCAGATTGAGTGAATGAATAAGAGTAGAAAGAGTTTGTTCATAAACCTGAAATTGTGCTCATCCACGAGCTCATAAAATAAGCTCAAAAAAATCTCATTTATTTCAACAAGAAAATCATGAGATTGAGCTTGAGAATTCTTTAATGAATAAACAAGCTTGAGCTCAATTTAACTCATTCATACACCATAGTGAGGATTGGTTAAAAAATATTAAGGGGTATATTTCAAAAAATTTGACAAAAGCTGACCCAACTTGAATGAAATAAGTGACTCGCCCCAAACCAAACCTGGCTTAACTCGAATTGGCTTAAAAGGTCAACGACTCAAAACTCAAGTAACTTGAAACTTGAAGCAACACCAAATGGAAATTCAACAAACAGTTATAACCTAGGCTCATAAAGATTCAGACCCAAATTAGCTGAAGCACGAATTGATCAAACTTAAATTGAGCATAATTTTTATTCCTTTCTCATTTTAAATTTCAATTTGATTAAAGAATATTAAATAAACTGCAAGTTATCTCTAAGAGTGACCCAAACAGAATTCAACCTGCTTTGATCTAAAATACCAACAACCTAAGCCTGTGTAACTAGAAATTCAAAGCAACTTGAACTCAAAATTATTCCAACATGAAATAACCCAAATCTTCAAGGACATGCATGAATGCATGAAAAATGACCAAGTCAAACCCAACCCAATCTACCCAATTGTTACTCCCATGTTTAAAGATATGGAAAAGATGGTTTGATATTGATTGCAAAAGAGAGGAACAAGCTAAAGAAATAGAAAGAGATAGTAAAAGTAGATAAAGACTACCTTATCTAAATTTTACAATGATTTGTAAAGTCATTAGCTGTAGGAATAAGATTCAAATTACCATTTCCTTCAGAGTTATTCACTCCATTAAATGGAGATTATGTACTTCTCCTCTTTTTCCACTAAAGCTTTTCTGATTGTTGATTTTGAAAACTAAAGGTACATAACTTTTCATAACATTCTGAAGTGGCTGTAATGCCAAAATGTGTTAGCTTAAGAGATTTCAAAGCCCTTAAAATGTTGAATAAAGCTGAAAAATAATGATCTTTGTCAAACAACTTCCAATCTTTGTCAAACAACTTCCCAAAGACCAACTCCTTAAGAAAACGTTTCTACACACTCCCAACAACAGATTCACATTGTCCTACTTAAATCACAAGAAACATTACATATGATTTTATCCCGCGGTTGCATTTGAAACACTAGTTTAGAATTTCATGCAAGATCCTAAATGGACTAAAAAAGGCGTTGAAAGGATATGCATGTCTATCTGGCAAGTTATTCTACTTGTGCAAATTCAAGCCTTGCGCGCACGCGCCCGCATGTGTGTGTGTGAGAGTGTGTGTATGTGTGCATAACCCAGACAACCATACCTCATTATCCGTATAGCATCCTTCCTATGGCTCAGGTATACATCATCTTCTTCCCATTCAGGCTCAAAAGGTATAGATGTCAAATGCCCAAGAATCAGCTTCATATTAGAAGGATCATCGAAGAGTCTATTCTCACGCACATCTGTCAACATTTTAAGATTTTCTTCCCTTTCATCAGATTTACAGCTCTGGCTAACAAGCTCTGCAACCTTTGCTGACAGAAAACCTGTGTCACAGTTGGCATTGCCCGGAAAATCAGCAATGGTGGAACTCATCTCATTAGTTTTTATTTCCTTGATATCCTCAATGCAACTCATGGGCACCATTCCTTTCAACAAAGTTGAGGCCTCATGAATATTATTATGGGTAGCAAACAAGACATCCTCAATCAAACTATTCTCAGCCCAGCAATGCAACTCTTTAAGCTTTTTAAGAGCTAAATCATTATTTTTTCCCTCAACTACCTTATCTACATCATTTTCAATAGGCTTGCCCATGTTTATTGGCATTATGGAATCCTTATTCTGCTTCAAAGTGGGAAAATTGCCAGAGGACTTAAGCACAGATGAGAAAGACCTTTCTAAAGGATCAATACTTTTTGTGAGGTTTGTGCAGGGATGGAGAGCCAACAGATTATTTGGCATAGGAGGGAAAGGGTCATTTTCAGTTTCTGGTACCAGACCCAGTTTCTGCTGCTGCTTGAGGTCAAAGGCAGTCCAGCCTGATGATTCACCTTTACCTCTTGTCGAAGACATCTTTTTATAAGGGGAGTCGGCAGGAACATTCATTTTTGGTCAGTACTATTTGTTAAATACAATTCCTTCCGTCCCCTTCTGTTTGTAACACTGGACACAACTGAGGGAAGCACTTCTCCGAGAGACCTGAAAAAAGATACGATTTTCTGTTAATTCCACCTCAAAAATGACAAATAGGCTATGAAACACTAAGCAACCTCCCCTAAAACTGCAGAGCGAGAAAACGTCAAGCAGTTCTCCTATTCAGAAATTACTTTGATAAGCCATACCAACTCAATTCGTAAAATAATATAGTTACAAAGTTTTTCAAAAAAAAAATTGAACAGAATCAAGATATTCTAAAACTATTCCAACTAATCCATGGTTCTTTGTTCATACAAATGGAATCATAATGTTTTAAAGTAAAACTACAGCACTGTTTTGTTTATTCTTTTTAACTCAAACATTACTTTGAGCAAAATTTACACTAGCAAATTGCAAACCAGGGAATCCCAAACTAAGCCCTAATCATTAGTATTACTTTGAATCAAAATAATAATAGAAAGAAAAAAGGGCAAATACCAAAAAGAAGAAGAAAAAAAAAAACACTGTATGGGAACCCTAAGCTAAACCTGATATAATTTGAATATGAATTAAATAAGAATAAATACCTTAAATTGACAACGATAAATATGAAAAGAAAGAAAACTATTTGGGGAGACAAAATAAGCGGAAAAAAGGCATGAATCGATCGAAAGTAAAATCAGAAGCCTGCTGAAAGTTGAGTTTCTGAACCACCATCTGCATCTCCGTCTCCATCACAATCACCAATCCCATATTGCAGCTTCTGCATTCCTTATCCATAACGAATTCAAATTCTCTCTTTGAAATTTGTCTTTCTTTTTCAATTAGTCAGCTAGATAACCTAACTCGTGATCAAATAAGAATATATAATAATCAACTCTTTCGTAATTACCGCTTTGCCCTTCACATCTTTTTTAAATTTTATTTTGATCAAATTTTATTATAAGCCTTTGTACTTTTATTCAAAATGTAAATTTAATCCTTTTATATTAATTTCAATTTTGCAAGTATTTCAATATTTCAAGATTTTGAATTTTGATCCATTCATAAATGGTGTTTGGTTTCTACTATTAAAGGTCCATTTAGATAAATAATAAGATTGATTTTGATAAAATTAAAAATAATAATAAAAATAAAATTAATTATTTTAATAATATAATTGATTACTATAATAGTTAAATTAAAATCAATGATAAAATATATATTTGAATTCAAAAGTAATAATAATAGTAAGATAAATTATAGTAAGAATAAAAAAATACGATTAAGGATATTAATCTAAAAATATAATAAAAAATTAATTTTATGTATACTTTCATATTATTTATAATTTAAAATCTTGAAATTTTATTGAATCAAAATATTGATATAAATTAAATTATATTAAAATAATAATCTAGATTTTTGTGAAAAAAATTAATAATTAAGATTTTAAGTATTAAAAATTATTTTAAATATTTAATAACAATAAAATTATAATTAAAATAATATTTAAGATTTTAAGTAATGTAAAAAACTAAAATAACAAAAAAAATGAAAGGACAAAAATGTAAATTAGAGGACAACCAAGGAGAAAAAAAAAAGGTATAAGGGGTATAAAGGGGAAAAATGCTACAGTTGCAATGAATAAATTTCCAGGGTATCTTAAGGGTCCAATTGAAAAAAGAATTCCAGCACGGTGGATTAAATCCAATCACGTCACACCATTGCTCTCCAATCACAAGCAAAGTGCAATTGAATTCTATTTTTGCACCGCCCGACGCTGTAAGCTAATCCAAATGCAACTTAAATTTAAGAGTAAATAGTATTTGTGGGTTTTAAATTTGGTTTAAATTTTATTTTAATTTTTAAATTTTAAAAATTTTTAATTGTATTTTTAATTATTTAAATGTGTATTAATATTATTTTTTATTTATAAAATTATTTAAATTAATGATAAATATCAATTAATATTGCGTAATAAAATTAATTAATATCTCATATAAACAAATAAAAAATTCAAATAAAATTTTTTCAAAATTTAAAAATTAAAATAAAATTCTCGCTTAATTTTTTTAATACAACTTCAAAAATCTTTCACGATTATATAAATTTTTTACTCTTTATATAATGCAAAAGTTTCCGAAATTTATAAAATGCAAAAGACCAAAGTACTTTTAACAGCCAATCGAAAAATTTTTATTCTTTACATAAATTTATATAATGAAAAAGAGCAAAGTTGCCGAAATTTATATAATACAAAAATATAATATACATTCAGAAGTCTTTGACATAATCGTAAAAGTACTTTTAACAGCCAAAAATATTATGCAAACTTTATATCATTTTTTTAAAATGATCTGAAAATTTTTACATAATATTTTAAAATGATATAAAATTTTTATTTAATTTCTTAAAGCAATATAAAAATTTTACTTTATTTTTTTAAAATGATATGTAATTTTAACAAAATTATTTTGAAATTTTCAACTTAATTTTAATTTTTTAAAAATCTATTTTCTATTAAAAATTATAAATTTATTGATAAATGATATCATAATAAAAATTTAAAAATATTTTAAATTATAATATTTTATAAAGTATATTTGAAATATATAAAAATAAATTTTTTTCTTGAATTATTTTTATCTTTTCCTTTATTTATTTTTTATAAAATATATTTGAAAAGGAAAATAAAAGATACTTAATATTTTAAAATATATATTTTATGGATAAAAAATAATATTTTTATTATGATTTATGAGTAAAATAATATTTTTAATAGAAAATAATTTTTTTGTTTTTAAAATGATATGTTTGTATGTAAAAAATGATAAAAAATTTATTCTATATCAAACAATAAGTACTTCATTGATTCATAAAAATAAATATTAAATTAATTAAAGATACTATAAAAGAAAAATTACATTGATAAAAAGAATATTGATGAATCCATTGCAAGATATAAAAATTTGAATGAAAATAAAAGCAAAAATCATTATGATTTGTTTATTTTTGAAAATATTTTATCCTCTAATCAATCATTGGAGAGAATTTCAAATTCAAATTTTTTTCAATTTAAGAGATAAAAATAATATGCATAAAAATATAATATTTTAAAATAATGTAAAAAATTGTGGTCAAGTTCGGAATAAAAATAAATATCTTGATAGTGATAAGAAGAAATTAATTACATTAAAGTTTTTTTTTTACCTAATAATCTATTAAAAGATTTAGCTTGTATGAATTACTATTAGTTTAATATTTTTAATTTTTTTTAATTTTAAAAGAATATTTTTTATTAAAATAAAAATATAACTATTAAATTATATTACAATAAAAATATAAAAATATATTTTTAAATTTAATTTTTTATAAAAAATATATAAAATTTTAAAATTGTTTTGTGTCTTATTCTTAAATTTTGAAAGAATTTAATTTATTCCTTAAACTTTAAGAGAATTTTATTTTGATCCCTAATCTATTATGTGAGATGTTAGTTGACGTCATCCATACTAGTTGGCATTTGCAATAAATTTAAATAACTTCATAGACAAAAAATTACATTAATACACATTTAAATAATTGAAAACTTAATAATAATTTTTAAAATTTAAAAATAAAATTTAATTTAAAATTTAAAATTTAAAAATTATGAGTACTATTTATTTTAAATTTAATGATCAGGCATTGACTCATTGATGTAACGTAACATTAGTTATAAGGAATTGAGTGCATTTGATGACATGGATTTTTTAATCCATGCCACTAATTTCATCCAAAAATTAAATCAAATCCGTTTTTCTTTTCTCCATTTTTTAATATTTTCAAAACTTGACGACTTAAAAAATGAAAGAAAAAAACTAATCAAATACCAAAATCAAATGGGTGGAAAAATTGGCCAATTTATTTTGAAAAATGTCCAAGTAGCAAGGCAAAAGAGGGTCAATTCACAACAGAAAAAATTACAAAAGAAAATCAACAGTCTTAACCATCTCCACTTGATCACCGTTATTTCAAATCAACACACACCACCATTAAAGCTTGACTGTCCACACATAAAAATTACCCATCTCCCCACCATCGCTACCAAATACAGACTGAAGCCTCCATAGTCAGCCCACAACTTTAACCACCAACTTTAAATCGAAACTCCCTAAAACAAATTGAAAATTTAAAACACTTGAATTATCAACCCCGATCTCCATTGTCGATTCTTGGACTTCTAATCTCAACCTTCATCTTCTCAATCAAAATAAAAAGTGCATTCACAACAGCAAAAACAATCTTCTACAACACCACCACCAAAACTGCAACAAAAACGAAAGAGATTAAAAAAAAAAAAAACCACAATTCACAAGTAAGAAAGCATAAAAGCATAGGTTTTTAAGAATTCATCTCGTCAGTTGTCATGTTATTAACTTAATAGTAGAAATCAAACACCTTTAGGATTGGATCGAAATTTCAAGAAAAATAAAAATACTTACAAAATGAAAATTAATGCTTTTTGCTTCCTTTTTCTTTTTTCTTTATTTTTTCCTCTTCTTATGTTTTTCTTCCCTCAAAACTTGAATGACAACTTTAGTGTGATAATTCAATCACATTAATAAGATTCGGTTACCGGTACTAAAATTTGAGTACTCTTAAATCTTTTTTTAAGGTAAAAAGTAATATGATTAAAAATTTTAATAAAATTTATATATTTTAAAAAAATAAAAAAATTATGTTTAAGATGTTGATACGAATTTGATATAATAATTTTTTATGTTTTACACTTATTTAATATGATATAAATATAATAAAAATACATAAATTTTTAAATGCACTTTTAAATATGATATAAATTGCTAAGTGCACTTTTAACACATTATGAAATTAAAAATTATTATAGTTATAAAAAATAACTATAACTAAGGTGGACGATCCAATCTGTCTTTGACGGATTTTGACTCGATCCGATCTTATAAAGTCGATTTTTTTTTTCAATCGGGTTTCGAGTAAAGTTGGGTTGGGTAGCGCTAAGAAAAGGTCGTGTTCGAATTTTAGACAAATTCAATCCGACCTAATATTATATAAAAATAATTTTTAAATTAACTTTTTATTTATATATATTTAGATAATTATATATTTAAATATTTATATTTTAAAAAATAATATTTTACATTTAAAAAATAATATCTTATTAATTTTAAATTGAACCAAATTCGAATTTAATAAATATAAAATCAAATCGAATTCGAAGGAGTAAAAACCCATTCTGACCTACCCGTTAACATTTAAGTTTATAAGTTTATAACGTACCATGCTAAAAAAAAAAAAAAAAAAAATTTGTAAAGGTTAAAATGGGCCCAATTTGAAATTGAGTCCAAAACCCGAGCTGAAAAATGCGAAGTCGCTAATATGAACAAGGGAACTTGCTATGGCTGTGGTCTATTCTATTCAACTCCAAGGTCCAACCTCAAAGCCAGTGATCAGTTTGGAGTTTCGAAGCAGCAGCTGTCTTGTCTTCTTTCCCTCCTCTGAAAATCAAGAGGTAAAAATTTCAGCAAAAATTGCTTTTCTATCTTATTTATCTTCAAAATAGTATATATGTTCTGTCTTAACGTGTAGTAACTGTAAAAGAAGCAGAAGATGCAGATATTTGTCAAAACCCTAACAGGGAAGACTACCACCCTCGAGGTTGAATGCAGCGACACCATTGACAATGTCAAGGCCAAGATTCAGGTTTTTCTTTTCCCCTCCTTTTTATCTCATAATTTAGTTTGCTTTACTCTTTTTTTTTTCTCTTACGGAATTGCAAACTTAGTATTGGAGAAGAGTGAGGAATCCTACTGGTTTTATGTGGACTTAGCCATTCTCCAGAAATTGATTGGTTCGATTGTGATAGTTCAAGTACCAAAGTTTCAGATTACATGCAATCCTGCTATTCCATTCAAATCTGTGGGTGAGCAGTGAGCATTAGATTATAACGTAAACCATACTTCACTCTTATGCACCCGCCGTTAGAGGTGAGGAAAGAAATCGGTAGAATTTGGTTTGGAGATTTGGTTTTATTGGATGGTAGGTTCCAATTTTGAAAATTTAGAATACTATGCATTAATAAAAAAAATCCAATTTGATTCTATTTGTTATCACCCCTACCCGCCATCCATAATGCATCCTTATACAGAAACTCCCACTACAACAATTAAGAAAAACCCTATACCTACTTTTATTTTTGTTGGCTCTGATTTGTGATATTTAAATTTCATTTTCTTGGTTCAATCCACTAATTTGGACTGCATTGTGAAGAGAACATTGTTCGAACGAAATGCTTTTCTTCATGAGTACTGACAATGGACTACATTTTCTAGGATAAAGAAGGCATACCTCCTGATCAGCAGAGGTTGATTTCTGCTGGTAAGCAGCTGGAAGATGGCCGGACTCTGGCTGATTATAACATCCAAAAGGAATCCACACTTCACCTTGTTTTAAGGCTTAGGGGAGGAACTATGATAAAGGTGAAGACTCTCACTGGGAAAGAAATTGAAATTGATATTGAACCAACTGATACCATTGATCGTATTAAGGAACGGGTTGAAGAGAAAGAAGGAATTCCTCCAGTACAGCAAAGGTATCCATTTTGGTCTTCTCCTGTTACTTTTCTGAACATCGCGATAAGATTTTCTTAGATTAATGAAATACTTCTGCATTATTTGAAATCCTTAATTTATTATTTTATGGTGGCTAATATAATTTCTTGGGGGAACCACTTGATTATATTTCTTCACAGGTGTTCTCAATACTCATTGTTTTACAACTTTTTTGTATATAGGATTTACAATTTGTTGTTTTTACATGCTTCCATTTAAGTCTGAATCTTAAGAATGTTCTGTCATTTAATGCAGTTAGGTATATTTTCATTTATTAGATATGTTGTGCAAAATTTATCCGCAATGTATTTCCTTGTATTACATATTTGTTAGATTCCATATTTGTTAAGAGGTAAGACATGAATGGGTCCTATGTCATAAATATGAATCAGGGCTGACTTATTTGTTGACTGTCTGGGTCTTGGATTAACTTCATAACAATAGTGCTCTCTGGTTGTTGACTTGTCACTTACATGCTTATTTTTGGCCAACTTGCCATTTTAACGTTAATTCAAGTGTTTTGACCACTTGTTAATGCTATGCTCATACAGGCTTATATATGCTGGTAAGCAACTTGCAGATGACAAGACAGCTCGTGACTACAATATTGAAGGTGGGTCTGTGCTGCATCTTGTGCTTGCACTGAGGGGTGGTTGTTTCTATATGGTGACTCCAATATAAGAAAACAAGCTGCTTTAATTTTTCTTTGCATAAATCAACTGAATTTGCATTTAATTTGTTGATGAGTGCATGGAACATACATGAACTGATTTCCTCAGATTAGCATGTTCTGTTTTATCGCTTGTTTATATAAATTTGTCTTCAGTTTTAAGTGTGGCATCAGTGATCTTGTGAGTTGAAAAGATAATTTCTGAGGATGTCAAAAGTTAAAAAGTAGATGTTTTTTGTTTTCCTTTACCTCTTTCAATAGAGAACTTGAGTGTTCAGATGGCTGATATAACATTCTGCATACCTTCTAAAATTGACTTCCAGTTTGTATATGCTTCATTGTAAGCCCATTAGCAGCAACAGCAAATTAAAAGAAAGCCATTCCAAATGTGAGGCTCTATATCAGTCTCCACAGACTGGTGACAAAATAGATTTTGATCCTGAAACTCAGTGTTTATCAAGGATGGTGGCTTCAATCATTACTGATTACTGAAGTTCACTTACTGAAAGATTTTCATGGGATAGTGTTCGGAGGCAATAAACTTGTACACTGTTAGTCTTAGGGGTGAAAAAAAAAAATCAAGAAAAACCAAAAATTGATTTAAATTCGCAGTATTTAGTTTGATTTGAATCAGTTTTTTTTTTATTCGGTTCACATTAAATTTAGATATTAGATGTTTTTGTTAGATTTAGATCGAATTTTAGATCGAAAAGTGAAAATTCTAAATTATTTAAATTGAATTATATATATTTTTAGTTTATATATATATTTAAAATTTTGATATAATAAAATAATTATTTTATATATAAATTGATTTAAATAGATTAAAATAAAGTTAAAATAATTTTAAAAATTCAATGAATCGAAAATAAATGATAGAATTTAATTCAGATCTATTTTAAATAGAATTTCATTTGAATTTAATCAAATTTAAAAAATTTATAATATTATATATTAATTGAAATAATCAAAATTAAATCAGTCCAGACTATTCTAAACAATGCCCTTCGTCCTTCGAAGAAGTAGCAATGAAATAATAAAAACTAAATTGAATTGAAACGAGCTGAACAATGCCTTTATCCAGCTAAAAGAAGTTGTCTCAATATGCTGAAAAGTGACATAACGTCCGAGGGATTGTTGAAGGTGTTAGTTTAGTCGGCGGGGGAGGGTATTTCGTTTCGCTTTGTGATTGTGTCAGACACTAATCAAAACAAAATGGTCACATGTTCATGGCGAAGCCACTAAGTGTGCAAATTTCCTTGCTAAGTTCAAGTACAATGGGATTTTGATGATTCGTTTTGTACTTTTCGCCCATGGCACGAATATCTCTCGAATTTGTGTTTGGTTTATAATATATGTACATTTTCTTTCTTTCCAAATTCCATTTAGAAAAAAAAAAAAGAAACTTTATCCATAATTTTTTTTTTTTAATTTTTCATCTTTTATATCAAACATAAAAAAAATTGACATCACTAGTTGTAACTATGAAAATGAATTTGATATGTAATTTGCACTTTTACTGACGAGAGGTTGATTGAGTCATTCAATTTGAATGGTTAATCTTCATTTAATCCTTATAATAAATGATTCTGTGTTGGAATTATTATAACAAATCGGTAGAATTAATTCCAAAAGCACGAATGCTTCCGACTTCTGAGGTACAAAACCTCAAGCAATCTTTCACCGACTAAATCTGACGTAAGGAAAAAGAACAATGACAGAAGAGGATGGAAGCAGATAGAATAAGAGAAATAGAAAATGGAAGGAGAAGAAATATCTTTTCATTCTTACATTTTGATCGTTACAGGACAGTCCTGTATTAGCACAACATGTGCTATAAATATAATTCTAATTATAATTCTAATAGAACAATTGCAACAGAATCTGTTAGAAGATTTTAGACAGTAACATGAGGTTATAAAAATCAAAAGGAGTCTTTGGTCTCTCAAAAATTTTATAACAATTAAGTTTGTTAAGGGAACCAAATAATTTATAAATTTTGTTCTCGATATGAATGTATTATATTTAATTGATTTAGTTAAATCAACTAATAATGCTTTGAAATTCGAATGGCATATTTGCGGAAGACCAATAAAAAAGTATTGTAAAAATGTTTTTTGGATAACTAAAATCTATCGATATGCTGAGAATCACACTAAGAATTTATGCATTATAATTTAAGAGGATTAAAATCACATTATTTTCTGTTTATTTGTTGTCATGTCATCTAGGATCTAGGGATGGGCCACTCAAATGTCAGACGAATGGGGAAATTTAAAAAATGGGAGGTAAAAAAATTTTCAATAAAAATCAAGATAAAGAATTGTTACCAATTTTTTTAAAATGTAATTAGTTAAAAAATTTGTCTTAAAATATTTTAAAATGGTTTAAAATATTTAGAAAAAAATTTACGGTTTGCGAATTTAAAATTGAGAGTTGGCTATACATGAGGAAGGATTAACACCCCACAACGTCTGTCGAAAATGGTACCAATTGATTGCATGTTATCTTTTAATTTTAGTAAAAATAATCTTATTTTTTTTAATGTTTAAAATTAATTTCTTTTTTCCTTTTTCTCTGTTTTTTTCTTTTACTTTTCTTTCTTTTTTTTCTTCATTTTTTTAAACAAAAAACAAATCAAATTTAAAACAAAACTCTTTTTTTTTTTTTATTTTGGATTAGAGCAAAAACATTTTAAATATAAAAACACTTCTTTCACTCTCTTATAACTAGATAAAGCTTAAAAAATATTTTTAATTTAAAATTTTCAAATTACCTCACAAAACTAAGATAATAATTCTCATAAATAATAATTACCGAAAGTCTCTGTAGTTAGCAATAACTATATTTATATTATCTTATTTTAAAATATTTTACTTTGAAAACTAATTTTTGAAAACAAATGCATGTGATGCATAAACATAATAAAATATGTGAATGCATGACAATATATTATGAATGACAAAATATGAATGTATGATAATATAAAAATGTATATGATGACAATATAAAATGAAATGCAAATGCATGATTAGCTAGGGTTTGAGGATTGGTTTTAGGGTAAGAGTTTAGGATTAGGGTTTCAGATTAAGGTTTAGGTTTAAGTTTTTGGGTTAAGATTGAAGGTTAAGGGTTAGGGTTTAGATTTAAGGTTTAGGTTAGGGTTTAGGTTTAGGGATTAGAGTTTTATTTTAGAGTTTCAATTTAGGATTTAAAGTTTATGGCTTAGGGTTTGAGGTTTACGATTAGGTTTGAGAGTTTCATCGAATTTGGGGTTTATGGTTTGATAAGAGATTTGGGGTTTAAATTTAGGGCTTCAATTTATTTTGGGTTTTATGAAAATGGACATGATATGAATGCAAATGACAAAAATACTATTAATGAATACACGTGCCAAAAGTATAACCTATAAAAATAATTACAAACTAAGGTATTTTCAAACTTAATATATAAATATGTAATGTATGAAAATTTAAGATCAAAATGGATCAAACATGAAAAATTTTAAATTTGGTTTGAATGTCCCATAATTATTCATTATTCAACTTAATTAAACAATTTCAAAAGTCTAGCAAAAATAACCATCAAACAATATTTTTCAATGAAATTTTTGTTCAAACATATTAAGAACTTACTAAATATGGTAGACACCTAATTTTGTCCGGAATACTTTTTCTTATAATTCAAGTTTATTTTTTCAATGTGGGCCATATAATGAGTCTCGTTGTAGTGGCCCTAGATGGTCTGATTGGACTGATAAAAGGTTCAACAAAAGCCCATTTTCAAAAGGCCATTAATGGCCCGTCGTTGGCCATAAAAATAATAATTAAAAATTAAAAAGGATAATAATTAATAATAAAAAATACCAAAAAAATCAATGCAATAATAAAAGCTTGACCCAAAAACAAAAATGAAAATTGGAAGCTCAAACCCACTTTAAAAATAAAAGAACAAAATGAAAAGAGAGCCCAAATAAGAAGTAAGCATTGGGCACCATTTTAAAGTCCATTTAATTTAACATGGATATATGATGAAAGCTTAAAGTTAAAAGCTACATGTAAAAAAAAAAGGTAAAAAAATTGATAAAAATTGCATGGGGCGTGAAAGCCAGAGAGGAAAGAAGTGGCGTGAAAAAAATTGACGAGGGCTATCAAAAGAAATTGTTCAAGAGATATGCAGACATGGGACAAAAAAAATGAATGGCAGTGGCTGCAAAACTACATGAGTAGAGAAGTATTGAGAAAAAAAGAGAGAAAAATGAAGGAAATGATGGCAGTAAAAAGAATAGAGAAGTAGTTCACGTGAAAAATAAAAAGGATAAAGAAATCCAAAAAATAAAACAGACATAAAAAGAGAAATATGGAAGCTAAAAATAAAACCTACACCAAATAAGAAAAAAACAAACAAAAATTAGGTGAACCAAAAAATAAAAAGGGAAAAACGTGAAGCAAGAAAAGGATGAAAAAAAAAAAGAAAGAGCAAAAAAAGAATAAGAGATAGCAGAAGAGGAGAATAGAAAAAAATTACAGTAGACAGCACGTGAAGAGGAAACAAACGTGAAGAATGGCAAGCAAAACTTGAAGAAAAACAAAAAAAAAACACAAATCAAAGATAAAGATATAGCAGTAAGAAAAGAAAATAAAAAAATCAAACAAGAAGAGGACCCTCAGGCAACCGCAAACAAAAACAAAAAAAAAAGAAACAAAAGAAAACCAACCTGAAAAATAGAGAGAGAGCAAAAAAATAAGGTATGCAGCAACATGATAAGCAAAAAAGAAACTAGAAAAAGGAGTAATAAGCTGTACATGAAAAAAAATGAAAGGCGTAACAAGTTGGTAGAGGTGGATGTATGGAAGGAGCAAGAAACGCGGGTGAAAGAACATCGAGTAAAATTGAGCAACAAGGCAAGCACACTTGAAGTAGAAAAAACAAAAGCAAAAACAATTGCCAACAAAAAATATTGAAAAAAAAAAACTAGAACGTGAAGAGAAATGAAAACTGAAAGTGAAAAAAGACAAGAAAAAAAAAAAACAGAAATGGGCATTCAATAGGAAGAACAAAAAAAGAAAAAAAATGAAAAACACTATAAGTAGAAAGCTGGGTAGTATAGCTCATGAAAGAAGAAAGAAACAAACCAGCAAGAGGCAAACTGAGAAAAGGGAAAAAATCGATGAAGGTGGGGTAAAGGTAAAAAAGGTTGGTCTTGTTTTCTTTACTTTCTTTTGTTGCGAAAAACTTTGTTTTTCTTGTCTTCTTATATTGTTTTGTCTTTCTATGGTCGTACATGAAAGCATCCTTGATCTCATTTCTCAATTTTATCATGTATAGTCCTTATTGATGTTTTCATTGAGTAAGGAAAAAAAA